TACTTAATAATTAATGTTCTATATCAAATTTTTAAAAATTTAATTGTTAAATTAAAAAGCTTTTCATATATAGATCAAATTTATAAAAAATTTTAAAAAATTAAAAATCATATGATATTTCATTAAATTAATTCAAATTAACATATAAAATATTTTTATTTTAAATGAGTATAAAAACTTAGAAGACACTAAAAGAAAACAAATTAATAATTTTATTATGTTTATCCTATTAATTTTTATCATTTTATTCCTCTAATTTTAAATAAGTTGCAAAAAAATTATAAAGTAACACTTAAATATTTCTTCAGACAGAAAGAGAAAAAGAAAAAGTTATCACTCTATTTATAAAATAATTGTATTTTATAAAAATAAGTAATTTTAAAATTTTTACCATAAAAAAATATTTTTCAAAAATTATTATATTTTTTAATAAAATTAATATAGAATATTCTATTGTCTTAAGTTAACTGAAGTTCTGGAACGGCCCATTCTGATGTACTAGTGATGTGTTAATTTTGCATCTGGAACGACCCGTTTTAGATGTAAATTTAACACACCAATAGTGCACCTAGAACAGCCCGTTATGGTTTCAGAACGGGCCGTTCTGATTTCAGGTGTTTTCATGACATTTGGCATCCAAGTGACATCCAGCTATAAGGGACCAATTAATATATTAGGGACCAAATTGAGACAAAAAATAAAAGTGGGACTAAATTGAAACAAACAATTATTATAAGGGACCAAAATAGGTTTTTAGCCAAAATTATATGATATTTAATTAAAATAATATATTTTAAAAAAAATTAGTTAAAATTTAATGATATTTAATTAAGACAATTAAGCTTTTTTTGAATAGTCTATTAAAGTTTAATGATGTTCAATTAAAATGTACTTTTTTTTTTACTTTAAAAGGGTTTGTTAATATTAAAAAAAATATAAAAATTTCAATGAATTATTTAAAAAACTGAATTTAGTGAGATTTTTTTTAGTATAATTTACATGTAATTTATTAATAAAATAATCTCACAATTTTGTTTTTAGATTTTACACATGATTTTTTTTTCCCTTTTCTATTTATACTATTTCTTTCTTTTCTCTCTCTTAAATCTTTTTTCTCACATTTTTTACTTTTCTCTCATATTTTTTCTCTCTCCTTCTCTCTAACCATTCTTGATTCCCTATTTTCTTTTATTCTCCATCTCATTTTTTCTTCTTCTTTTTATTCACCCCTCTCATTTATCTCTTCTTCTTCTCCTTTCTCTTATATTCTTTTTTTTTTTCTCTCTCTCTCCTTCTTTCTTACCTTTATTGCTTCTATTTCTCTTTCTATATCTCTTTTCCCTTTCTCTTTTTATCCATCTTTATCATTTATATCATTTTCTTCTTTTCCTATCTTTTTTTATCCATCAATTGATATATAATTTATCAATATTTATTTATTTTAATTATTAAATATTTAAAATAATTTTATGTTATTAAATATTATTCATTGTTAAAATTTTTAAATTATTAAAATTTAACTAATTATTTTTAATAAAATTTAATATTGAAATATAAAATTTTGAAACATATATTAAAAAGACTTTGTAAGTGATAGTAATAACCCTCAAAATGAAAATAAAGTTTTCAATTTATGTCATATATGTATATTAAAAAATGTGATTGAAAAAATATTTAATATTTTTAAATCACTTTTCATAATTTTTAAGTCAAGATCTATATTTCTATTTAAGACATAAACTGAACTTCTATTAGTATATAATACTATATGACTTTCTGCACAAAAAATGTCGTTTTAATGGATTTTCAATTGAATGAATCTTCATCTTCAATATTATTGGTTAATAAAGATCATAATTTTGAAAATATTGTTCATACTTAAGTGCATAAAAGAAAATATATCAATGTATGGAAGACTAGTATAACTTTAGATGAAGAAATGTTAATTAGAAAGATATTAAAGTCAATTATTTATTAAAAGATAAAGACAAATATTTGTCAAAAAATAAGAAAATTGTGTTAGTTTTATTTTCTTTATTACTTATGTTATATTTTTTTATATTAAATCTTGTATTATTACAAATTCATGTTTTCTTGTAAAATTTATAATATTTATTAAAATCTGAATTACAAAGTCTTTATTAAAATTCAATTTTAAAAGTCTTTTTTTATAAAAAAAAATTCTATAAGTTATGACATTCCTGCCTTTTAAATTTATTAAAATTTATAAAAAAATTTCATGCTAAAATTATTTTTTGAAATATCAATCGAATCCACCCCCTATAAATTACTCCATGTATATTCCAAAAGAGCCATTCAAAATACTTAATATTCATTTAATATATTTTCTAATTATTTTGAGTTAAGAGAAAAATCATCAGGCTAATTATATCTAATCTTGTAGTAGGAGCAATTGCCTCAAAACTAGTATAAGTACATTTTTAATGATTATAATTTATAAGTACTCTATATATTGTGTAAAAAAAAAAGTACTCTATATATTCGTAATCAACACCTAAGTCAAAATAATTATTAACTACAGTAAAACATCAAAATTAAGGTTTTTACATACATTTTAATTACTATTTATCATGAAAAAAATGTAAAAAATTAATGTTAATAATTTTTTTTATAAATGATTATATTAGAAAGTTAAATCAATCGTATATATATATATATATATAATTAATAAGATACAAATAAATTAATAAGATACAATCGTGATTTCTGAAATATGTTTTCCAATAAGATACAAATAAATTAATAAAACATATATCAGGGTTATGAATCATTTATAACAATTTTCAAGTAGCAAATTAACTAAAGTTATGTGCATAACCATAAAAATAATATCAAATGATGAGGTAATGAAAATAATAGTTTCTTTTCTATAAAAATAGTGACTTAAATTATTATAATGAATTATTTCAAAGTGTCATTCAAAATAGACAAGTTTAATTTTCATTTGCTGCATTTTCCATTTTCTTAGTTGAGAGAGAAATAATGAAACTAATTATATCTAATCGTGTAATAGGAGCAAGTGCCTCAAAATAATCAATACCCTATGTTAAAATAATTAATTAATTTAAATAAAACATATCAAAATTAGCCCTACACTGCAAATGAGCCCTGGACCGCAAAGGGTGGAAGAGTTTCACACCTATTTTTTTATTTTATTTTATAAAAATAGTTAATTAGTTAAAATTCATATTTGGTTTTGTTAAAATTAGGATAATGTAACTAACAAGAAGGCCAAATTTTAGGAAGAAAGTAAGACCCTGTTTGTGGTTGATGAAGCATTTACGCAGCTGTATATATATACCTAGCTATCTTCCGAAACTAAGTAGGGCGAAGAAGAGGAAAACCAAACCACCAACAACACAACAGAAGAGAAGAAAAAGAAAGGAAAAATGGCAAGCAAATACGTTGCATTGTTGTTGGTGATGTGCCTCATAATCTCTGATGTCAATGCCCTCCCTCCACCCTGCGTAAGAGATTGTGTCGATAATCATTGCGACAAAGACTACAGAAGCTGGTGCGCAATGGCTTGTGGTATGAAGTGCGCCTACATGAGATTGGGAGGAGTAAAAGCTAGTAGGAGTAAGTTAAAATATATATATATATAAGAAAAAAACTTAATTTTGGCATAATCAAGATAGTAACACAACATGGTATATCGACATTTAATATTTATTATCAATTACTTATGCTTGTATTGTATCTATATAAACATTTGTTACAATATATATAGTTTATTTACTTTGTAATTTTGAAATATCTCTCTATGATGCAGATGCTCAAACTGAAAGTCTACCAAGGAGTTAACCCAGAAAGTGGGAAACAAGCCCTACCAAAAGCGGCAGAGAATAAGGTTCTTCCACAAACAGGGCCAAAGAATTGAAAGACCCTATAGCATCAGTTGAATTGAGATATATTGTCCTCCTTTTCTCTGCTTGCCATTAACTACCATTATAATTAATATAAATATTCTCCATGTTCTTCTGATTCTCTTCTTTTCTTTTTGAGCTATTACTTTTTCCTTTGTTAGCTTTTAAAAATAACATATATAATTAATTAACTTGAGATTTATAATATCTTAATATCTAATTTTTTTTTACCATATTCATAAGATTATTTGATTTAAGTTATATATGTTTTACTATTTGTTAGGGAAATATGTAAAAGAAATTAATTTATTAAGAATTTTCTTAAATAATTATTTAAATCACAAAGTTAAATCAATTAAGTATTTTGATTTAATCGAATGGATCGATTAAATTTAACTAATCAATTATTTCAATATATGTTAAATGTTAAGTCGATGTTAGATCTCTCATGTTTTAATGATAATACACAAAAGATTTCATTATTAAAAAATAAATGAATTTTCTACAAAATATTGTATATCAGACAAAGTGTAAAGTTTATATAATCTATAAGATGAAGAGAAACAAACGAAACATATAGTTGTCTCATTGTATATTATTTAATTGAGATTGATAATAAATTTCATTAAATGTTTTATTCCTTAACAAATTGAACAAGAAAAATGTCTTGAAATTATCAAAACTTGTTAAAGAAAGAAAAGTCAAATTATTTGTCGGAAACAAAAAACAAAATCCTGAATATCATGGAAAAAGAAAAAAAAGGCTCTACAATAACTGTTCTAAATTGATATTAACTGCTTTACGTTGACATTGCTTCTACTTTGTCCATTTTAGAAAGAAATGATGATAAGTAATTTCCTAGATCAAATAAGAGATACACACTTCATTGAAAAATATTTAATACTCACATTAAATGAAGCAATGATAATCTCTTTCCTAATATCAACAATGAAGACAAGCAAAACAACTCATGAGTTCAATTCAAAATTGTCGCAACGGTCATTTCCTCTGAAATTACTATATAAGGATCAAGCATTCAAACAATTACAGAGATTCATATAAAAGATGAAACAACCTTGTAATCTCTTGTAACCTTTGTCGTAAGGGTTGAATTTGAAAAAAATTGTTTGAAAGAATACTTGTTATTAAGCCTGAAGAGACTTGTTGTTCAAAAAATACTTTGGTAGTTATTTGAAGAGGCAAGTCAAATACTACTTAGGATTGAGTTATAAGTGATTTGTTGAAAGAATATTTGTATCTTGTTTAAAAGATAGTGAAACTCAATTTGGTTAGCTTGAGAACTAGACGTAGTCTTGGTTGTTGAGACGAACTAATATAAAATTTTAGTGTTTCATCTAACTCTTTTCCAACATTTTGTCTATTAAGTTCTTATTTTTTTTCACCGTTCAAAAGTGTGAGTTTTTGATACACACTATTCATCCCCCTTCTAATGTGTGTATTTTTTTTTCACATTAAAGCTATTATGTGTGTATATATATATACATATTAAATTGTAATATTAATTTGTATTATTATTGGTTTAATTTAATATAAATTTTTTACTTACATTTATTGTCTCTCAAAATGTGTTAAAGTTATTCCATATATTAAATTATATTTTAATTTATAAGATTAATATGTTTTAACGGGTTTAAATACAATACAAGAAACACACATGTAGGTATGAAAACTAAATTCGTTCTTATGAGTATCTATTTGACTCTGACTCGATTTTACTGGATGTGGATTTTTTTCAACTTCAATAATCAAGTTCGAATATAGGTTTGGGTATATAAGTGTTTGCCCCACCCATGTTTTCGTACATGTTCTTCTAATTTTGATGTGGTGTGTGTGTGTTTAAGGTGTTTGTGTTTATGTGAGTTGTGTTGTGTGTTAGGTTTGGTCGACAAAAGAAAGGTATAAAAGGGGTTCTTTTAAGTTTTGGGTTGATAACTCAAGTTTTTAAAAATTTAGAGAGAAAGTCTAATGAGAAATTCTCCAAGTGAACAAATCTTCTTTCTTTCTTCTTTGACTAAGAACTATTTTTCTTCTCTCTTGTACTCAATTGAAGTTACTGGATTGAGGATTCAGTGCCTCAAAGGGCTTGGTTTAGAGTTGAAAGCAGTCATTTTCTTCCACTTCTCCTTTTGCAAGTTTGGTTCTATAAGGGGTAAGGGGAGTTGGATCGTTGATTTTCAGGTGAGTTGTTTGGTTGTTTATTGATTTGTAAAGAAAATATTTTTTATATTTAAAATTCATATTTTTAATCTTTAATTTAAAAAAATATTGTTTTAGTTATTTTAAATATATTTTTCATCTTCAAATTAAATTTTTTTAATTACCAAAATATAAAAAACTATTATTTTAGTTCTTCTGTTTGAATATCATTAATAAATATGTAAAAAAAAATTCACATACTATCAAATTTGTCACAGAATTTTTTTACTAGTATTTTTATTAGTGAAAATATCACATTAAAGTATTAAATTAAATATTACTACATAATTATTTTAATTAAACATTATTTGTTATATTATTATTTGTGACTTTGAGAGATTAAAATTTTTTTTTTTCAAAATATATGAACTAAAAATATAAATTTAAAATTAAAGAGACTAAATAATAATTTTTTTATATTTTAAAAATTAAAATACGAGTTTTAAATTTACAAACAAAAAATTAAATATCTCAAAAATATAAAAAATGAAAAACATAATTAAACCTACCATTTTTAAACAATGTCAAATCTCAATTGTTGTTTATCTTAAAACTAGAATTTTAGCAACGAAGCGTTGCATTATTTTGGCGCCCATGAATCATTTATGCTGAGCTATATATACTTATGACGGTTCCAAATGTAAGGGCAGGGAAGAGGGAAAAGCAAACCACCAACAACAGCAGCAACAGAGAAGAAATAAAAATGGAAAACGACGGATGTAAGGGTTTTTTTTTTTTTTCTCTTTATGTCTCCTCCTCTGCTATGGCTATGTCTAAGACTTTATAAATGTTTATTATCTTAGATTATAACTTTGAAATTTTTATCTATGATACAAAGGACTAGATCATGACGCATTAAGTATGTTCCTTGCACCAACCGTAAAAAGCTAGCTGCGCATGAGCTTTGGTCTATCAGACTATCACCTCAGACTTTAGAGCATAAGTCGATCAGAAAAGGAATTGAAAGACGGGGCAAACCAGGATTGGCAGAATGCAATGAAGTTTAGTGCAAAGGCTTTCTTTTGAACTAGGACACATTGCATTGTATAGTATAGCTAGCACATTTTACCCTCTTT